GCAGCAGGCAGCAGGCAGCAGACATGAGCTGTGGGACGGGCGGGGCATGTTCGCTGACCCTAGCTGACCCTTTTGCTCGACGACAACTGTGACTGTGACTTGTTTACGCTGCTCCACCGCCTGCACCGCGTCCATGCATGCGCATGCTCGACGCGCATCCATCATCGCCATGCACCCGGGTTTGAGCGCCCACGTGCGCATCCTGATAGATGCTGACACGTGACCAAGTTAGAACATCACATCACGTGTTCTCAATCAAGAATTTGAATAATTTCGGTTGGATTTTTTGGAGAAAACAGGCAGCGGGGATGGCAAATCAAAATGTTAGGATTTGGAAGGTTACGGGGGGACAGCAGAGATGGTGGGTAGGTGCAGGTGCATCTTGGACTCGACTTGACTCGACCAAGACTCTGACTCTGAATGCTGCTGATACACATTCACGATTGTCAAAGCACAGCCCGCAATTACTTACGACTCACAATCTGCACGGCAGGCAGGCAGCCTCACAAAGCATCTCTTGTGGCACTCTCCCTGGCTGTACCAAAAGACACCAGTTGGGCCGGGCCGCAGTCGAACAATGGCAGCTTCAAAAGGGCGCGGTCGGATAGGCAACGGCGCTGTTGCTGTTGCTGGTGATGGTGCCGCAGCGGGCGGTTCAAGAGCAGCTCAAAGCTCGGCCAAATCCAGATCAGCCCCTGCTGCTGCTGCGGCGAAGAACAAGGGAGGGGATGATCTGATCCTGACCATCGATTCGGACGATGAAGTAAGCGCTGCAGGAGAGTCGGAGGCAGAGATGGAGTGGCAACAAGAAGGAGATCACAACATCCATCCCTCCAGCTCCACGTTCACCCGCCTTCATTCCAGCTCTCAGCCTGGCCTTGGCACTTCCAAGAGCAAATCGACCTTGTCCATGAAATCCAAAGTGAGCGGTAATGCACAAGGATTGCGAGAGGGGAGCGATGGACAAGCTTGGAAGATGGACAAGGATTTTGTGTTTGATTTGCAGGGCGATGGATATGGGCTTGGACTGGGATACGAGGGCAAGGGCAGCGGTGCGGATGTGAGGGATAAGGGTCAAGCAGGAAGAGGTTTGACGGTGGATGATATCATCGAAAAGAGAAGGGTAAAGGTTGTCTTGCCTGATGATGATGAGGAGGAGAAGGAGCAGGAGGGGAAGCAGCAAGAGCAGGAGGGGGCGCAGGAGGAGGAAGAAGAGGAAAGTAGCGATGAAGGTGAGTCAGCGTGCAAGTTGCTTGCAGGCTCAAGCAGTACCGCCTCACCCACGCCTCCCTCGATTCTCCACTCAGAAGCATTCGGTGCGGGGGCGCGTCGAGCTCAGAGGCAGGTCCAGCAAGCAGGAGAAGAGGGTAACGTGAGCGAGGACGAGGACGATGAGGATGAGGAGGATGAAGGTGAGGGGGAAGATGATGACGATGCAGCAGAGTCCGACTCGTCAGTCGACCAAGACGAGCAGACCGACGAAACGGAGATCGATCGAGCAAAGAAGGCGGCATTCTTTGCTCATGAAGAGGGCACCGATGCAGGTGGCAAAAGCAACGGCGATCCCGCAGGCGCATCATCTTTCAGCTCCCTCAACCTCTCTCGCGCTCTGCTTCGAGCCCTCTCCACGCTATCCTACCATCAACCTACGCCCATTCAAGCTCGCGCGATCCCTGTGGCTTTGGCAGGCAAGGATATAGTGGCTGGCGCAGTGACGGGAAGCGGAAAGACTGCTGCATTCATCATCCCCGTGTTGGAGAGGTTGCTTCATAGACCCATGACGGAAAGCAGAAGCAGAGTCCTCGTGCTCCTCCCCACCAGAGAGTTGGCGGTGCAGTGCGCTGCAGTGGGAAACGCGATTGGCAAATTTGCAAATGTGAACTTTTGCTTGGCTGTTGGTGAGTGGCGCGTACTGCTTACCAATGCAATAGAAGCTTTCAAGTGCCAAGATTCCCGTTTCGGTCTGCTCATGCGTATGCTCGTCTACTCGATCCTCCGCCATCAGGTGGATTGTCCCTCAAAGCGCAAGAAAAGGAATTACGAAGTAGACCAGAAGTCATCATCGCCACGCCAGGACGTCTGATCGACCACTTGCAAAACTCTCCCTCGTTCAATCTAGACTCGATCGAGATTCTGATCATGGACGAAGCCGACCGAATGTTGGAAGAAGGATTCAGGGAAGAGTTGAAAGAGATCATCAGCAGTTGTCCGACCAAGAGGCAGAGCATGCTCTTCAGCGCTACCATGACGGATAGCGTGGATGAGCTGATCAATTTGGGCTTGAGGAGACCCGTCAGGATCTTTGTAGATCCCAAGAGGAGCACTGCAAAGAATTTGGTGCAAGAGTTTGTGAGGGTCAGAGGTGCTGCTTCGAATGGTGAAGATGCGGAGCAGGTCCAGCTTACCACACTGGGACAGGGCAATAGGAGGACAGAGGAGAGTATGAGACCTGCGTTGCTGCTTTCTTTGTGCTTGAGAACATTCACGCACCAAGTCATCATCTTTGTGCGATCCAAGAAGCTGGCTCATCAGCTCAAGATCATCTTTGGATTGGTAGGCCTCACGGCTTGCGAGCTTCATGGAGACTTGTCGCAAGAGCTGCGTTTACAATCACTGGATAGCTTCAGGAATGGTAGAGTAGACTATATGATCGCTACGGATCTAGCTTCGCGCGGTCTGGACATCAAAAACGTTCAAACGGTCATCAATTACGACATGCCGAATTCCTTTGACGTCTACCTGCACCGCGTAGGTCGAACAGCTCGAGCGGGCAAAGAAGGCAGATCGGTCACGCTGGTTGGTGAACAAGATCGTAAATTGCTCAAATTGGCCATCAAGGGTTCCAAAGAGGAGAATATCAAGCACAGACTCGTACCTGCTGACCATGTCAACATTATGCTGGAAAAGTTGGACCAGCTCAAAGAGACGGTGCGCGAAGTGATGAGCGAGGAAAAGGAAATGAGGGAACTGGACATTGCGGAGAGGGAACTTAGAAAGGGAGAAAATGTGGAAAAGCATAGAGAGGAGATTATGAGCAGACCAAAGAGGACTTGGTTTCAAAGCGAAAAGGAAAAGAATGCTTCGAAAGGTGCGTGGGTGGATGAGGACTTTGAGGCGGGGGGGGTGGCGACGGCTCCTTGCTTTGTCTGCTCATGCTGCGAATCTCGCTCTTTGCACATGCTCTTTTCGTTCGCACCGCAGACGCTTCAGTTGCTGATTATCTCAGCAAGGGCGAGAAGCGCAAGGCGGACGGCACAAAGGTGAGCAGCCGTAGTGAACATGAGGACTATCCTGTGCCATTTGCCTCTTTTCGAATCCAGTCGCCCCCTCCGTCCACCTGCTCATTTAATATCTGCCATCTCGGCTCTTGGTTCCCCCCCCCTCCATTCCCCCTTCATCTTTTCCTCAGCGAGGCAAATACGACGGTTTATCTCGCAAGCAAAAACGTTCCAAGCAGATGAAAGAAGAGATAGCAAAGGAAAAGAGTCAATCGAGCGTGGACGCGTCCATACGAGCTGCCAAGAAATCTTCTAGACCCGCATCCTTGGGCATGCCCGACACGAGCTTCTCAAAAAAGGCGCAAAAGAAAGATGCTGGAAAGAAGAGGAAGAGCAAGAGCAAGAGCTCTAGCAGTAGAAAGGTTACGGGTAAAGGAGCTGGCTTTGCGAGGGATTTGGGAGAGAGGAGTACGGGCAGGAATGCGAGTGGGAAAAAGAGCAATGGTGGAAAGAGATAGCTGTGCCCTGCGCCTTGCGCTCCTTCCACCCCACCCTATCTAAGCCCGCTTGAACGTGCACAAATTCCATTTCTGGTCGTCTTGCTCTGTCACCTATTCATATTCTTTCACAATCGACAATGTAAGACGCAGTCGTGACAATCATCCTCTGGGTGCACAAAGAGCTGGCGACTAGCGGTGAGGTTTTTAAATGGGATGTTGCGAAGCTCATGCGACGAAGAGGATCGACCTGCTTCTGCCGCGTTGCGACTGGTGGAGGTACGAAATACATCTAGACTGGGATGTTGCTTTGCAGTGTAGGGCCGTGCAGAGAACGATGGCAGGCAGAGCAGCGATTGGACGACCGACCCACTCATCACAATTCTTCTTCCTCTTCCTCTTCCTCTGCTGGGGGTCTAGCAGCGCTCGAAGAAGCAGGTTGCTGCGTAGGCATGGATGCTGGTGCTGGTGCAGGCGGAGGTGCTGTGGTCGGAAGGAGGGGCACATCGAATATGCCCCTCCCTTCTTTCCCTCCCCGATTTCCTCCATGCAAGGCTGTTCCAACACGATCATCCATACCTGCAACCTCCTCTCCTCCCCGCACCCTCCCCTCCCGATCCTGATCCTGATCCTGATCCTGATCAATCTTGGCTCCCCTCATCAAGCCCAAAACGATTCCATCGCCTCCCAACATTTCCCTTTTCCTCTGCTTCTTGAGCGCTCGCCTCACGCTTCCTCGTTTAGCAGCAACATTGCTTTCCCCTCCCACGCCAGCTCCCGTCGCAGCTTTGGTCGAAGCTGCTCTCGAGGCGGAGAGGGTGCGCGTCGTCTTCTGTTCGAGCTGGGCATGCGCAGTCGAAAGCGCATCCACTCCCTCGTCGCTTTCCCATTCCGAATCATCAGCTGACAATGCTCTTCCAAAAGCCCGTGCATTCTCTTCTTCGTCCGAAGACATTGCATCCTCCTTCCATATCCTATTCCTCTTGCCCAAGATCGAAGATGCAGCGCGCGCCGGCGCAGATTCGTGTTGCAAGGCTGAGCCATGCGGCGAGCGATCACGGATCTCATCTTCTTCAATTTCTATCTCGTCTTTTTCGGGCGCGTACGTACGTTCAGGCGGCGCGGGCACAGCAGAACCGATGCCTGTTCCCTGCAAATATCCCAACGCTTCCTCATCCGCTTCTCCCAACAAAGCTTTCAGATCGAAAGCCGGGGCAAAATTTTCCACAACGCTAGCACCTTTCACCTCTTGCCCATCATCGTGTTGCGCATTCGTAGCAGCAGCAGATTCTCCTTCTCTCCTCCTTGTGTCCAGGCTAGAGCCAGACGCGCGGGTTTGGTGCTCGAGTCCACGAACAGGCGGCGCGACGCTCCACTTGATTCGTCCCACGTTCCAATCCTGAAGCACGATCCGCGCAGCACCTTCGATATCCGGCACACCTCCTTTGCCCACCTTGCCCCTCAGCAGCGCAACGCGCATCAAGAAATCCGTAGGATCTCCCTGCGCATCGTCGGATGATGTCGATGATTGCACAAAGTCGAAGCCGCCTTGAATGCCGTAGAGATCGATCAATTGCTGAGCGGGCACGCGAGACAGAATGGTCGCGACTGCAAATGGATCACAATAGAACGCGTGGACGTAGATGCGGGTAAGCATCTTTCCTCGTGTCGCTTCACCATCCTCTCTTTTGGTCACTCTAACAAGCAGCACCCTCGCTCGCTCGCACACTCACCGGGCGTGACGGGATCCTCGATCAATTCGACCTTGATGGTATTTCCCAGCCCCAAAGCCATCAGATTGCCCACGCTCTGCATTCGCGCTTTCTCCCCCTTGTCGAAAAGGACGATGCCGGGACAATCGATCAACTTGAGGCTCTTATCCAGCGCCACTACTTGCGAAACCTTGGTATGGCCAGGTGTGGAAGCAACGGAACAGCTCTTGCTTCTCACCAGAGAATTGATGAGCGTAGATTTGCCCACGTTGGGAACGCCAAACAGACCGACGGTGAGTGACGTCTTTGCGCTCGAGCCTTGAGCCTTGCTGCCTTTGTGAGCCGAATTGCCGCGGAGAGAATGCTCGCGGTTCATAGCTTTGAGCAGATCGATCAGAGGTTTGCAGCCCACAGCTTCTGCTCCGCTTTGGATGCTCTCTCCAATCCCAGCTGCTGCCCCTTGCCCATTCTTGCCAGACCGAGATCTGAACTCTCCCTCTTTCAACTCCACCAAACCCCTCTTGCCGTTGCCTTGAGAAAGCTTGGTTCGTTGGACCTGCGTCGAGCCTTTGAAGGCTAGTGTAGGGTAGTCGTGCCGCAAATAACGTAGCCAGCCTTGTACGTGGGACAAGGGAATGAGATCGATCTTGTTGAGCACCAAGATGATCCGCTTGCCCAGTGAAAGTGCTAGCCTTTCGGTGCTCTGCGAGCTGGGGAGTGGAAGTAGAGGGATGAAGAAGTGAGGGTTAGTCTGGGAGGTGATTGGGAACGCATGGCCAGGCGCACTGCGTTGAAGCGACACGCACCGACAGCCCAGAGGATCGCGCGCATCCAAGACTTGTATGAGCACGTCGCTCAATTCGATGACGCGCCTCAACTCCTTCATGTAAGCCTTGGAAGAGTTGTCCTTCCTGCCACTAAGCGCCGCATCCTTGACATCCTTCCACGCATGCTGAGCACCGTCGGCGCTCGCTGCAAATGACGAGGCGGACGTAGGATGGGCATGAGTGGAGGAGGGATTGACGGACTGGAGGGCGCGCAAGGATTCGGCCAACGAGTCCTCCATTTGATATTCTTGCGAGGAGGAGCTGGTGTGGGTGGGATGTATGCGCGCATTTGCCTCTTCATCATCCACATCCACATCCATGCCTCCCGCTCCTGCTCCTACTCCAGCCCTGACTACAACTGCATTGCGCGCTCTTGATTCAGCCTCTTTTCTCCTCTTGAAGAAATCGGGTAAGCCCGCATCAGTCTTTGCTCCTGCGCCTCCTCGACCGCCTGCTTGTAGAGCTGCAGCTCGTCGTGCGGACTTGGCTTTAGATTGAGGTTGTTGGCGCTTGCCCATCGTAAGATGGGGGCAAAGGGAGGGAGAGAGTGCGCAACAAGGGGTCGTCGACTTGATGAGGTGACCGTCTGACAAGAGCTCAGAGATGAGCTGAACTTGCAACTTGTGGCCGCGAGGCTGGCTTGAAGTCAATGAGTGCCAATGGTAGGGTGTGTGCCCAGCCCGCCCTAGTGAGAAGTCGAGCGTGTTAGATAACACTGTTGGTCGACCACCGATGTGATGATCGTTGTGGAGCGCTTGAATGGCAGGGCGTGTGTGGATTCGATGATGAGTGTCCAGAGTCAGATGTATGGCATGTCGTGATGACGCTTCGCCTGTTTGTATACATACATCATATAGCATTTGGTCAACTCGCGACCCAGCTCTTGATTAAGAATGGACTCTGACCGTGAGCCCAAAAAAGTTCCAAGTTTGCAACAACAATTGTGAATCACGAATCAGAATTCAAATCGTGAATTTACGACCGTTCGTACGAGAACCAGATTCGCAATAGATCACGTGCACGATCTCTTCGCCTTGGGCCTGCATGCGTGAATTGCGCGCTTGCTTTTTGCAAGACGAGCGAGGTCAAGCGTCGAGTAGCGAACGCCGCAACCATCGCATCGCATCGCATGCACACACCTCACAAAGACGAGCAGCGGAATCGAACGCTGGTCCTCCATGCCTCACTCATTTCCACAATCCAGTCACGTTTCATCTCCACAATCCACACACACACACCCATCGAAGAAGTCAAGACTGACACATATACAAAGTGGCCTCTTTCAACCCCGCTCGCTCCCTTGTCGAACAGCGGACCTCCTCCTTCGGTGGCCGGACCATCGAACGACTCAAGAGAGTCAAGACGTCAAGTCTGTAGGGCTTGAGTGGCACCTTTGCTCTGGATCGACAGCCATTCT